CACCTCATCCAAGCTTCACAATCATCATCGCTGTGTACCAGTATTAAATTGTTTGTTTAAAACTTACACTTACACACTGTGTGTGTGTATGTATGTATGTGTGTGTGTGTATATAATATAATCTTTTGTCTGGTGAAAAAAATTTCCCTGGAACCTAACCCCCCCATTTACATTAATTGTTATGGGGAAATTGGATTAGCTTAAAGTGGCATTTTTCAGGAACATAACTACAGCATTAAGTGAGGAGTTAGTGTACCTGGCCAGTGTCAGGGTCTGGGGTCATGAACAGATCCTGGTTTTCCAGGGACAGTTCTTCACTGGCCTTCTTGTGCACATCCTCTGAGTTTTGCTGGTCATTCTTTGGGGTGAGAATAGAGTGGACAGTGGGATCCACAACCTTCCTGCATTGATTTGTAGTGTAACTAATCGAAATCCTATCCAGTTCCTCAGAAAACGAATAGGTGATATTTCCACTGCTGGACTTCTTCCTGCCATCCCTGGTTTGAGTCTAGTTCCTCCTGAGCTGTTTGCTCGTTATCCTGCATTGTTCAGTGTCCCAGTTGTGGCCCCTCGTGGTCATCCACTTAAGAAAAAAAATTCTTCTTATAGTTGCTTCTCCCCAGATGATGATGAGACCCAGGCTCTTAGCATGGCCCTAAGCAGTTGCTTGAGACGTGTTGTAAGGCTTCTGGAGTAAGGCCTGGTCTACACTACAGAGTTAAGTTGACACAAGACAGCTTATGTTGACTTAACACTAAGGATCTATATCGCGGTGGCCAAACTTACTGATCCTCCCAGCCACATATGATGATAATCAGAAGTTTGAGAGCCAGGACATCTTCCCGTGATTTCTGCCCTGTGGCAGGGCTTGAGGCTTCAGCCCCAGGGGAGGCGCTTGCTGGTGCTTGGGGCTTTAGCAAGAATGGGGGTGAAGTCCCTGGACCCCCTTCCCACTGGGCAGAAGCCCCTAGCCCCATCACCCCACCTTCAGGGCAAAAGCCCTGAGCTCTTCCCCCCCCCCCCCCCCCCCCGGTAGGTGGAGAATGAGAGGGCATGGGAGGGCCCCGCAAACCACATTTTAACTGTAAAAGAGCCTCATGTGGCTCACGAGTCGCAGTTTGGCCACACCTGATCTATATGAAAATGTTGCTCTTGCCAATGTAACTTGCCCACTACGCCGACATAATAACTCCACCTCCACAAGAGGTGTAGTGCTTAGGTCCATGTAGTTAGGGTGATGCAGTGTCAGTGTAGACCCTGCGTTACCTATGTTGACCTTAGTGTTCTCCGGGAAGTGTCCCACAATGCCCCACCGTGATTGTTCTGGTCACTGTTTGAACTCTACTACTTTCTCAGACACTATAGAGTTGACATAGTCATCCCTGCTGTAGTATTTATTGCTTTGGTAGAAAGGTGTTATGCAGTGGTGTCCTAGAACCTGTAAGTTTCTTTTGAATTCTCAATGGATAAATTTAATCCCCCCTCCTTCACTAAAGATTAGTGTAATGTAGAAAACATAGTGACGCATCTGACATGGAATGGAATGGGAGAGGGAAAATTCTGTCTTACTGTGACCTTTCATTTAAGACCCTCCATGTCAGTCTTCACAATGGAGGCTCCCTGTGTCCATAGCAACTGGAGGCAGACCAGATATTTGTTCTGAGCCTGGGCTTAGGACCACTTCTTAGGGAGAACTCTCCAGGACGACAGTATTTTTAGTTTTGAAAGCTATTGTTTTGAAGGGTTTTTCTTAAAAGATGGTCGAAGGCCCAGGCTCTGAACAAAGACTCTGCCTCTAGTTGCTGTGGAGATGAGGAACACCCACTGTGAAGACTGAATTTGAGGGACCTGGATAAAAGGTCGTCATAAGACAATTTTCTCTTATTGTACCCAGTTGTCCTCATTTCATCCTCAATATTTGCTATCATCCCACTTTAAGTTTACATAGAAATTTTCCTAAATGTTCAGCATTGGCCTAACTTTTCTCCCATTGAAGTCCTGTGATAGAACTTTTGTTGATTTCAGTGAAGGCAGAGTAAGGACAATGCTGAACACTTAATATTTTTCCCATAAATATTCCTTCTCTTATACCCCTGCATTTAGGTCATTGCTTGGTAGATCCCTTGTGTGTCTGGTGGCAGCTGTATTATGGGGCAGCATTTTATTTTCTTAGCTGATAAATGTTGTCACATCTTGGGAAAACACCAGTACAGGCACCCTCCCAAACTACCTTAAAGGACAAGAGACCTCAGCAAGTAGAGGTAATATATGGAGCAGCTAACAACTTTCCTTTCAACTTGCGAATTTCTCAACTATGGTGCGCACAGAAGGGTTTAGAATAGGGTTGTCAAAGGATTAAAAAAAAAAATCACAATTGTGAGATTAAAAAAGTGACAATTACAGTTTTAATTGCACTTAGTAGAATACCAATTTAAATTATAAATATTTTGGGATGGTTTTTCTGCATTTTCAAATATATTGATTTCAGTTATAACACAGAATACAAAGTATACAGTACTCACTTTATTTGACCAATATTTTCACTGTAAAATATAAGCAAAAGAAATAATATTTTCCCATTCACCTTATAGAAGTACTGTAGTGCAATCTCTTTATTGTGTAAAACTTGAGAGCCTTCAAGTCGAAGCATGAAGAGGCATATGAATGTTTAGCATATCTGGCTCGTAAATATCTTGCAACAGTGGCTGCAACAATGGTTACGACAGTGTCATGCGAATGCCTGTTCTCGCTTTCAGGTGACATTATAAATAAGAGCCGGGCAGCATTATTTCCCATAAATATAAACAAACTTGTTTGTCTTAGGCCTGGTCTACACTAACCCCCCAAGTCGAAGTAAGGTACGCAACTTCAGCTACGTGAATAACGTAGCTGAAATCGACATACCTTACTTCAAACTTACCGCGGTTCAGACGCAGTCCACACGCGGCAGGCAGGCTCCCCGTCGACTCCGCGGTACTCCTCTCGTTGAGCTGGAGTACCGCAGTCGACGGCGAGCACTTCCTGGTTCGATTTATCGCGTCCAGACCAGACGCGATAAATCGAACCAGGAAGTTCGATTTCCAGCCGCCAAACTAGCGGCTAAGTATAGACCAGCCCTTAGTGATTGGCTAGAAAAAAAATAGGACTGAGTGGACTTGTATGAGGTGAATTGAAAAATACTATTTCTTTTGTTTATCTTTCTTACAGTGCAAATATTTATATTAAATAATACACGTGAGCACTGTACATTTTGTATTCTGTGTTGTAATTGAAATCAATATATTTGAAAATGTAGAATAACGGCCAAAAATATTTTTAATAGTTTGACAGTGCAATTTTAAACTGCGATGAATCGTGACTGTTTTTTAATCTAGTTAATTTATTTTGGGTTAATAGCATGCATTTGCTGCGGTTAATTGACAACCCTAGTTTAGAACCAAAAGACACTTTTGTATTGGTTACCCCCCTGCCTGATTTACTGGGAGGTGTTCTAGAGTTCACATATCACAGGTCAACAGGTAAGATTTGAATTGTTTTAGGCTGTACTTGCATGGTATTGCTTTATTTTCCATTCAGTCAAGTACGAGTCCAGTAACTATACAATTTTGTTAGAGATTGGAAAATGTAAATGGCTGTGTGTCTCAAATGATTTGCTGTCAATTGTAAGTAAGCAGTAGCACCAAGAACACCCCTCCCCCCCCAATAAAACCAAAAAATACCCTAAAAACCCATAGAAGTAATACTAACTTCTAAGGCAATTTCTTGTGAGGTTCTAATTTCAAATTAGTTTATTAAAATAGCTTTAAGGCTTCAATCACATTGAACTTTTGCTGTTTTTGTAGATTTAAAAAAAAAAAAATCCACTTAAAGTAAAACAGCTGTGTAGTAGTCTCGGCCGAGGTTTGGCCCTCAGCGGGGTTGTGGGGTATCCCACCGCCTCGCTCTGGTCCGCCGTCAGTCCTGGTCCAGTGGTAGTGCGGGACAGCAAACACATGGTTAGGGGCTCAGGCCCTTAAGCAGGGGTTGAGCCAATAGGTCAGAAAAAGCCCCGGGCCCTCAATCAGGGCAGGGCAGCAACCACGCAGTCTGGAGCTCAGGCCCTCAAGCAGGGGCTGAGCCAATGGGTTTGTAGCAGCCCAGGCCCTAGGTCAGGGAAGGGCAGCACTCAAATAGTCAGGAACCCAGGCCCTTAAACAGGGGCTGAGTCAATGAGCAACAGGTCCCAGCCTCTCTAGGCCAGGGAAAAGGGGGAGTCTGCCACCCAAGGAGTGGGTGGCAGGGGGCACGCAGGCCCTCCCACTCCACTGCGTCCCAGCCCGGGGCCCTAGCTCGCTGCTGTCAGTGGGGATCCTGGCCGCAACACACTGACATAGGCTCTGGCAGTGCTGCAGCCAGACTGGGGTCGGCTGCCCCCGGGCTACTTCCACACTCCCCCTCGTAGGGTGCCTGGGCCGTACTAGTGTCCTCGGTGCTCTCCACCAGCATCGGTTCCTCCGGGTAGGTAGCGAAGCATAGGTTCGTCTCCACCTCGGGATAGCTGGAAAGGGGCAGGCTCGGCTCCTCCTCGGGGTAGCTGGAAAGGGGCAGGTTCGGCGGCCCCTTGGGGTAGCTGGAAAGGGGCAGGCTTGGCTCCTCCTCGGGGTAGCTGGAAAGGGGCAGGCTTGGCCAGTCCTCCTCAGGGTAACGGGCGAGGGGTAGGCTCGGCTGGCCTGGTGAGTCAGCAGGCTGGTCGAGGCCTGCTGCTGTCTCCCAAGCAGGAGCTTGGCCACAGACGTCTGCTCTCTCCGCCGGCTTGTTCTCCACTGAGCTTGGCAGGCGGGCTTTTATACTTCCGGGTCGGCGCCGTGACCTCTGAGGGGCGGGCTCTGGACCCGGTGGCTCCGCCCACGTTGGTGTTAGGGGAGGTTCGGCCCTTAGCGGGGCTGTGGGGTATCCCACCGCCTCGCTACACACTGTTACAAGTAAGGTAGTGACATGACTGTTTTTTCCTTAATTTACAGCATTTAAATATCAAGACACTGACAGATGATATGGTAAGACTACTTAAAGTTTTGCTTCTGCTGTGTTTGGTGACTAACCCAATATCTTCCATAACTTTAACATTAGCGTATCTTCACTGCTGCTAGACAGTCTCTCCATTAAAAACAGTTTTTAATACTGCCAGTTTGAATGAAAAGCTAAAATATAACTGATAAAATCTGGCTAAACTGGAAAAAATGGTTACTGGTCTATGATATGTCTAGATCAGGGGTCGTTAACCTTTCAGAAGTGGTGTGCTGAGTCTTCATTTATTCACTCAGATTTAAGTTTTCGCGTGCCAGTAATACATGTTTTTAGAAGGTCTCTTTCTAGAAGTCTGTATTATATAACTAAACTATTGTTTTATGTAAAGTAAATAAGGTTTTTAAAATGTTTAAGAAGCTTCATTTAAAATTATATTAAAATGCAGAGCCCCCTGCACCAGTGGCCAGGACCCGGGCAGTGTGAGTGCCACTGAAAATCAGCTTGCATGCTGCCTTCGCACACGTGCCATAGGTTGCCTACCCCTGGTCTAGATGCACCCAGTAAAAATGTCAGTATTGGTCATTGGATTTAAATTGCTGTACTCTGTACCAATTGCTGTTTCGTCATAGGGCAACTAGTTATAACTGTCTGAGGCAAACCACATAATGAATGTAGTAATCACATTTAAGGCGTGCAAAAATTGGGTTAACCTGTTAGGGCTGCATGGCTTGGTAAAATAGTGTTTAATACTATCTTGTACTTTTTAAAAAAAACCAACCCTGTGATGGAGTGCTCCAGTGACCGCCAAGATGATGTCTCCTCCTACTAGTTCTGGGGAATAGCTTGCAAGGTTGATACCCGTTCCCGCGGTTGCATGTCATCCTTCCACCTCTCTATGTAGGTCTGCAGAACCTCTCTCGCTCTGCAAGCTGCTGCTGCCTCTTCGTGACTCTGCCTCCAGCCAGGTCACCAAATGGTTTCACCTGCTGGGGTTGGAAAGTCTTTTCCATAAATAAACAGACTCAGGGAGCCTTCCTCATAGTTCCTCAGTGTCTGGCTGGGGAACCCAGGCCTGCCCTCTACTCCAGGTGTCGGATGAGACCCTCTAGCCAGCAGTCAAGGTCTGTTCCCTCTTAGACCTTAGGGCCTTTCCCTGAGTTCTGTCCTACCTCCCTTCTCCCAGGGAGTGACTACAGACTTGCCCAGCAGCTCCTTTCTGCTGCCAGTTTCCTGCCTTTATAGCCCAACCCAGCTCATTCCTCCTCAGCTGGGCTCCCTCCCTCCCTCATTCAGGGGATTACTTAGTCACCTGATACTTCTCACCTAATGGCCTGTTGGGTTAATTAGCCCCCTTCTTTGTCTTCATTAACCCTTTCAGGGCAAATGTGTGGTGAAAACCCTTTCCCACCTCCTTCATAACAGTATATAATTCATGTTCTGAGACTAGCTTAGCCGTTGTCACTTAAACTTGTTGGTTTGTGTGTCTAAATAGACTTGTAACATAAAATACTTTGTGAAGACTTCTCATAGTTATGAGGTAGCAAGTCTTCCGTCATTCAAGATACTGCAGTTCATTCTCAAACGATGAACATCAGCGTCATCTCTTATGGTTAGAACAGTCTTCCTTTTTAAAAAATGAGAACAGTAAGTTTACACATCTTGGATCATGTCTGCACTAGAAAGTGAAGTCTATTTTGTGTAAGTTGACATCGAGCCTTCAAATTAATTAAGTCAATCTTGCATGTGCACAACACATTTATTGTCTTCGTGAAGTGTGTCCTCACTAGCAGCGCTTGCAATGATGCACAGAGCAGTGCACTGTGCATAGCTATCTCACAGTTCAACTAGACTAATGGGATTTGGGGTAGGGTTTGCAACGCCTCTTGGGACCAAAACATTGTCATGGGTGGTAATGGGAACATGAGTTCGGTCTCCCATGATGCACTTTCCTCCCTCCTTTCCCTGATCTCTATGGCAAACTAAACAAGGTTTTTTGTACCTTTTTTTGAAAGCCTGGCTTAGCTGCGCATACCCCATAGCCTGAGCAACATGGACCCTGCTCAGCTGTGCAGTTGTGTTAGCATTACAAACACCTGATCCCCCTAACCTGCAGTATTTCTGAAGCTGAGACAGGAGCTGCCACGCGGAACATTGCAATGTCATACAAGCAGCCCTTCTGCAAGCCATAGAGCAAAACAGTTTGCAGTTGCTGGTGGCAGTTGCACATCAGGTGAACATGGTTGAACGCCGTTTCTGGTCCAGGGAAGCAAGCACTGACTAGGATTGCATGGTTGTCCAGCTATGGGATGACGAGCAATGGCTGCAGAACTTTCAAATGTAGAAGACACTTTCCAGGAACTTTTTGTGCAGAGCTTTTCTCAACCCTGAAGTGCAGAAGTACTAAAATGAGAGCTGCTTTGACAGTGGAGAAGTGAGTGGCTATCGCTCCATGGAAGCTTGCAATGCCAGACGGTTACTGGTCAGCGGGGAATCAATTCGGAGTTAGTAAATGCACTGTGGAAGTTGTTGTGATCCAAGTTTGCAGGGCCATTAATTGACTTTTGCTAAGAAGGGTAGTGATTCTGGGCAATCACAGTGGATGGTTTTGCTGCAATGGGGTTCCCTAACTGTAGTGGGGCGATAGATGGCATGCATATCCCTATTTTGGCACCAAAGAGTACATAAGCTGAAAGGGATACTTTTCAATGGTGTTGCAAGAGCTGGTGGATCACAGGGGGCGTTTCACTGATATCAACGTCGAATGGTCAGGAAAGATGTGTGATGTGCGCATCTTCAGGAACTCAAGTCTCTTCAGAAAGCTGCAAGCAGGAACTTTCTTTTCAGACCACAAAATAACTATTGTTGATGTTGAAATGCCAATTGTGATCCTGGGAGACCCAGCCTATCCTTTGTTCCCATGGCTCATGAAGCCATACACTGGCTGACTGAACAGCAGTAAGGAGTGGCTCAACAATAGGAGGAGCAAGTGCAGAATGGTGGTGGAATGTGCCTTTGGACGTTTAAAAGGTTGCTGGCTCTGTTTGCTTAGTAGGTTAGACCGCAGAGAAAGCAGTATTCACATAGTTATTGCTGCCTGCTGTGTGCTGCATAATATCTGTTAAACAAAGGGAGAAAAGTTTTCCCTGGGGTGGGTGATTGAGGCCAATTGCTTGGCAGCTGATTTTGAGCAGACATATACCACGGTAATAAGAGACCGGCTCTGCGTCTCTGTGAGGCTTTGAAAACCCATTTCAGCAATGAGCCACAGTAATGTGTGAAGCTTACCTGCATTGTTCCTTCCCAAACCAATCTCCCCATTACTTTTTTCCCCCCTTCTGTAAAATGAACCAACCAACCATGTGTTGAATAAATAAAGAGCATATTTTTCTTGATCTGTTTTCTTGGCTGCAAGGAGTCTAGCGTTGTGTTGCCTTTCTTGAAGCTCAACCAGACGCTCCAACATGTCTGGCCCTCATAATCCGCAGCATCTCCTCCTGCGTGGCACACTCCTGCTCCTGGGATGCACTTCTGCTGTCTATGTTTAGTTTCTCGGGGAGAGAAATTCTCCATGTTCTGAGCTCAGCCTTGGCTGTCCCAGAGGTGTTGATTATCTCGGTGAAAATGTCATCCCGAGTCCTCTTTTTCTGCTTTCTGATCTGGGAAAGCCTCTCTCCCAGTGTGGAGGATTAACCGAAGGACAAGCTTTCATCTGTAAGGCATACAAAGCACAAGGTAACCATTGTCAGTGCATATATTGTTTCTGGAGCAAGGCTGATTTTAAAAAAACAAAACAAAAAACCACCTCTTAATATACTTCACTGCAAACAACAATATACTCAGAATCCCTAGCTATTGCGTGAGTTGGTTTGCTGCTCCAGCCATGGTGAGTATGGCTATAAGGCATGGGCAACAGGTCTTGTGCTGCTACTTCTGTAAAACCGTTGTCAGGAGCACAGTTGGGCAGTTGAGCAATAGCCCCTTCCCCCTAGCAACATGGACAGTACTTGAGGACAGGCACCAGTGTTAAGCCTCCCACTTTTTTTTTTTTTTTTTTTTTAATCAAGGTGGCCCGGGGGGAGGGTGGGAAGGGGAGAACAGACACAGGAAGCTCTCCCCACCTTTTCTTAATGCTGCTTGTAATACACTTTGGTCTCTGTCAACAACAGCCATGGCATGTTAGGGAAAGTGTGGTTGTGGGACCCGGATTTAACCAAAGGGGGGTGGATTATTTGTTCTGTTGTTTGCGATTCATGTACTTGCACTGAAAACTTCCCCCATTTCCCTTAGGTGACCCTATGTGATATCTGTCTCCTGAGGGTAACAGAGATGGCAAGAGAGGAGATGCTGCAAGCGTTTGCGTACAGACCTGATCCTTACTCTGCTATGCTGTGTATTGCAATGATGCCAGCAGAGTTAATAATGGAGTGGTGTGGGAAAGTGTCCTATTGTGGTGGAAGAAATAAGGCAGCCCTCCCCAGAAACCTTCTGCAGAGGATTGCAGAGTACCTCTATGAAAGTTTCCTAGCAATCTCAATGGAGGATTCCCATGTCATCCCTATGCACATAAGCAGTCTTTCTGGGGCGCACCCACAGCATAGGTGGAGCGTTCACTGGCAAGCAGATACCCAGTGCCCAACCTTCTTTTTTTCAGATTAAACCTATAATATAATGGAATGTACCCACTACAGTTTGATTGGAAATGTATACTCACCAGAGGTGCCTTCCCCGGCATCACCCTGGGCCACCACTTGGTCCTGTGAAGGGATGGGCTCCAGGGTTAAGAACAGGTCTTGGCTGTCAGAAGAGAGGTGGATCCATTCTCTCAGTCACCCATTCTCCTCCTCCTCCTCATCTTCCTCATCCACAGTGTCCTCTTTGTTGCCTGAGGTGGTCTGGGACTCAGACTCCTGGGAGGTATCCACACTGTGTTTTGGGGTAGTGGTGGAATTGCTGCCAAGAATTGCATGCAGTTCATTGTAAAAGTGGTATGTCTCTGGGGCAGAACCAGAACAACCATTCACCTCCCTTG